AAAGTCTATTTTGTCTGTTATTAATGTTGCCATATCAGCTTTTTTTTGCTTAGTGTTTGCATGGCACATCTTTTTTTTTTTTTTTTTTTGTGAGGAAGATCAGCCCTGAGCTAACATCCATGCTAATCCTCCTCTTTTTGCTGAGGAAGACCAGCTCTGAGCTAACATCTATTGCTAATCCTCCTCCTTTTTTTTTCTGCCAAAGCCCCAGTAGATAGTTGTATGTCATAGTTGCACATCCTTCTAGTTGCAGTATGTGGGACGTGGCCTCAGCATGGCCGGAGAAGCGGTGCGTCGGTGCGCGCCCGGGATCCGACCCCGGGCCGCCAGTAGCGGAGCGCGCGCACTTAACCACCAAGCCATGGGGCCGGCACATGGCACATCTTTTCTTATTCTTTTATTTTCAACCTTCCTAGGTGTTAATATTTAAAGTGTTTTCTTTTGAACAGTATATAGTTGCATCTTATTTATTAATCCAGTCTGACAATCTTTGTTTTTTAATTGGAGTATACATCCATTACATTTAGTGTGATTACAGTTTACCTTGTTGCTGTTTGTTTTCTCTTTATCCATTTGTTCTTTTTAAAACAAAACACTCCTCCCTTCCTGCCCTTTTTTTGGTATTAAGAGTATTTTTATCTCTTTTGTTAGTTTTTTCATTATATTTGTTAGTGTCACTCTTTTAAGTCATTACCAAAGAAATTACAAAATACACCCTTAACATATTATAGTGTACCATAAATTAATACTTTTATCATGTTATGAGCAATGCAAGAACTTTACAGTATTTTTGCATTATTTAATCTCCTTTTTTGCTATGTTTTGATGTATTTTACTTCCATATATGTTATGAATCCCACAGGACATTGTTAGTATTGTTTTAAAACAGTCAATAATCTTGTATTTACCCACATATTTACCTTTTCTGGAGCTGTTTATTCTTGTTGTCATTTTTTTGCTTCCATCTAGGATCATTTTCCTTCATCTGAAGAACTTTTCTTGTAGTATTACTTGTCTGCTGGTGAGGAGTTCCCTTAGCTTTTGTTTGTCTGAGAATGTATTGTGCTTTCATTTTGGAAGAATATTTTCAATGGGAATAGAATTCTTGGCAGTTTTGTTTTCTTTCTGTACTTTAAAGATATCATTCTGTTATCTTCTTGCTTCTATACTTCTTGTTGAGAAGTCAGTGGCACTTCTTCCTGTTGCTTCCTTAGAGCAATGGTTCTTAACTGGGAGTGAGTTTGCCTTCTCTTTTACCCCCTCTCGCCTGGGGGACATTTGGTAGTGTCTGGATATGTTTTCACGGGGTGGTGGTGGTTGCAGGATGCTACTGACATTCCTGCAATGCACAGAACAGTCCCTCACAACAGAAAATTATTTCAATTAAAGTGTCAGTAGCACCAAGGTTGAGAAACCATGCTTTAGAGGTAATATGTCTTATTTTTCTCTGGTTGTTTACAAGATTTTCTCTTTATTTTGGTTTTCAGCAATTTGATAATGATATGGGTAGGTTTCATATTCTTTGTTTTATCCTTTTGGGGATGGGTCTTAATTCCCTCTTACAATACACTATCTTTTTATTCATTTGTCTGTTTTTTCATCTTTTTTCTTTAACACATTCTTCATAGTTATTTTGAAATCCTTGTGTTCTAATCTACTCTTTGGATCACGTCTGGTTCTGCTTCCATTGACTGTTATATCTCTTGATTAGTGGCTAATTTCTTGCTTCTTTGCATGTCTCCTAATTTTTAAATGTGTGTTGAACATTGTGCATGAAATATTAGAGAGGCTGTGATTTACCTTTCTTTGAAAGATGGCTGAATTTTGTTCTGACAGGCAGTTAAATTACCAGCTCTTCACTTTTATTCTGTCAAGGCCTGGTTTAGTTTTTTGTTAAGTTTGGTCTGTTTCAGTTTTGTTTATATTTCTAGGGCATGGTCCTTCTTCTAAGGTGTGGCCTTTGTGAGGTTTCAACTGAATGTTTAGGATCTTCATCAGGTGTCTCAGCTTTGGCTGGGCTCAAACTCCAGCAACTTTCCTGCACTGACCCTTGGGATCTCAGCTTCCCAGCTCTGCTTGCTACCAAGTATCCTGTGGTTTTGTCTTATGCTTGTGCAGCCCTGGAGATGATCAGGAATTGATGAGAATTTCTAAGGGGACTTTTCGGGTTCTCTTTCTGTGGCTACCTCCTGTACAGCACCCTGTCCCTCCAGTCCTTTGCCCAGAACTCTGATCTCTGTTCCCTCTACCCAGTGAGATCGCTGGTCCCTGTTTTGACTTCAGTTCAATACCCAACTCCCAGAAAATGTTTCCAGGGGAAATTCTTGGGGGAATGTTGGATCACCTCATGTTTCTCTTTTCTGATTGTAGCCTTATGTTGATTATAGTCCATGCTTACAAACAGTTGTTTTATATATGTTTTGTCCCGATTTTAAAGTTATTTGTGGTTGGAGAGTAAGTCTGATAGCAGCTATTCTGTATGGTCAGAATCTGAAGTCCCTCTATTTTTTTTTTATAGACAGATTAACTGCTTTTTTTTTTTTTGTATAGCAACATGTTTATTTTTTTATTTTTTGTATATCAAAATGTTTATTTTTTTTCAAGAAAAATCGCATAATTTTATTAATTAACTGCTTGACACACATTAATAATACTTTTTCCTCTGTATTTTTGGCAACATATTCCTTGGTCATTTCTTCATATAATAATTATTTCATGGTACCATTTTCTGTGGAAAGAATAGAAAGATACTTCAATCTTTCCTCTAACATGGTTGAGCAAAACTTTTTTTTTTTTTTAATTTTTTGTTTATTGCAGTAACATTGGTTTACAACATTGTATAAATTTCAGGTGTACATCATTATACTTCTGTTTCTGCATAGACTACATCATGTTCACCACCCAAATACTAATTACAACCCATCACCACACACATGTGCCGAATCATCCCTTTCGCCCTCCTCCCTCCCCTCTTCCCCTCTGGTAAGCACCAATCCAATCTCTGTCTCTATGTGTTTGTTTATTGTTGTTATTATCTACTGCTTAATGAAGGAAATCATATGGTATTTGACCTTCTCCCTCTGACTTATTTCACTTTGCATAATACCCTCAGTGTCCATCCATGTTGTCACAAATGGCTGGATT